CCGCGACCCCCGGCCCCCGCTGCCATGGCTCCCCGGAGGGCGCGCGGCCACCCCGGAGCCCCGCGCCACCTCCCGGGCAGGCACCTGGGCACGCGGCTGAGCCCCGGAGCCCCGCGCCACCTCCCGGGCAAGCGCCGATGCGCCGCCGAACCGGGAGCTTTGAGCGCCCTCGGATCCTGGATTGCAGGCGCCCGTGCCCGACTCTGCCTTTGCTCCTTCCGCTCTCACCCCATCCCTCCACGCTCAGGCTCCGCTTCGCACACCCTCCCGCTCCCTTCCTTTCTCTTCCTCCCCTCTCTCTGCTCGCTCTTTTCGCTCGATCTCCCTTTCAGCTCTCCCCTCCACTTTCTCTCGCTCTCTCTCCCCTCCTCTCTCCCTCTCTCTCCCTCTCTCTCTCCTCTGCCGTGCTTCTCTTCTCTCTCCCACTGCTGTTCTCTCCGTCTGTCTCTCCCACCCCCAATTTTCTCCACCCTTCGTTATTCCCTCTCCTCTTCTCTCTCTCTCTCTCTCCAGAATCTGGCTGCTTCTATCAGAAATTCCCGTTGATGCGCGCGCACACTCACACACACTCTCACACACACACGCGCGCGCGCGCGCGCACACACACACACACACACACACACACTAACAGAGAACTAGCCCTGAAAGGCTGCGGTGCAGGGTGATTGGCTCCTTGAGCTTCCTGTCCCCGACCTCCCAATCCTCCCTTATGTGTGTCAAAGGCTGAGTCAAGGAAGTCTGCCTGAGAAAAGGGAGGCATGCCTGGGCACCTTCATGCCTCAGGGCCACCTGTCCCAGCCTGAGCACCAGCCTGGCCAAACCTGGACATGGAGGTCCTACCCCACCTGTCCTGGCTGAGCCCCCCAGGGCTGATGCTTCTCCGACTCTGAGCTGAGCTGGGGGTCTTAGATAGGCTCTGTCTGCTGAGAGGGGAAGGAAACCACATCTCTCCATCCTGCATGATCAGGGGCCTGGCCCTTGGTATCTCCCCAGGCCTCCCCAGCCTGTTCCCAGGGCAGCTGCTGCACTTCTGGGGGCGCTCGGTTCACGTTGCCCTCTTTCCATCACTCTTCAGCTGGGGCTTCAGCATCATCCGCAAGCCAGGTAGGGTGACCCTGAGACACACTGTGACACCCTCTAGGTGTTCCCTCAGCCAGGAGAGGGCTTTATCTGACCCTGAGCGCTCACAGGCGGACAAGTCTGCCTGTGCACACCCCAGCGTCAGCAGAGCCCCAGCGTGGCCAATACTCAGCACTCCTGGCCTCGGTTCCACAATCAGCCCCCACACCACCTGCTCTGGGTCTGATGAGGCAGGAAGCTCCAGTTTGTGAGGGACCTGAATGACATACCACATGCAGCTCTTTAGAAAAGGGAGAAGATGGTGGCTGGCGTGGCTTGGTGGAGACCCCAGGAGCTCTGGGTAGGCGGGGTCCCAGCTCCCCCTCAGAAAAGTGCACAGTGACTGTGGCCCTTTCGTCCTCTGTCAAGATCCTTGGGGGAAGGTGTGTGGATCAGGGCTCCCCTTCCCACCCAGAGCCTGAGATTCAACATTTACCAACACACCACTGACTTCACAGAACACTGGCAAGTTACTGAACCTCACTGTGCCTCAGTGTCTTCCTTAACTTTCAGAGCTCCAGTGAGAAATAACTCAGATATTGTATGTACAGAGCTTTGCCCCCAGCCTACCTGGAGGAGGAAATGGAACAGAAAGCAACAATCTCCTCATCACTTGGCCCATCACGTGGCCTATAGATTTCAGGGTTGGATATGTCTTCATTAGATATTTAGCATGTGACATCAGAGTAAGATGTTAACCTGTGTATCATCCCTGTTCCCAAAGACTTTGTCCCCACAAATAACCCCTGGCATGAGGGCATGAGGTAGGTGCCCAGGGCCTGTTTGTGGATTAAATGAGGACATGAATATGTGAGCACCACTGGACCCACGATCCTCATACTTCAGTGTTTTTCAGAATCACCTAATAAACTTGGGATGCTGATTAAAGAGTTAGATTCCTGGGCCATGCTCCTGGGGTCTAGGGATCTGCATTCTCAGTGAGTTGTTCAGGTGACTCTGATAAGGGTGGTCCATGATCACGCCCTGAGGAGCAAACTATGAGAAGTGGTCAGGTTGGGCAGCTGGATGCAAATTCATCATGTGAGTGCATACTCCACCAGTGGCCTGATGCTCTGCCCTGGAGGCTCTTGTTGGAGAGTGATGGGATATTCATGACAATGTTAACATGAGTCATTAAATGCTGTGACTGGGCCCTGAGGGAGGGCTCAGAAACAGGACTGAGTCTCATGCCTTTAGATGCTTTAATATAGTTCCTCTTACAGGCAGGTACATGCACACATCATGGGGAGTCCTTGCCCCAAACCTTCAACATAGATATCATGATTCCATCTTGACAAATTAAGGAGCTGAGACCCAGAAAGTTCCTTGCTTTGCTCTAGGTCACTCCAAATAGTCATCAATAAATAAGGTAGAATGAATTGACTAAAATGGTAGAATCATCATGTGAGTTGGGATCCACATCTATCAGACATTAAAACTCCAGTTCTTTCCACTGTGCCGTTGTATTTATCATGCACAATTTATTACACACATGGGTTTGAACACACATGAACATACAACACATAAACTACCAATGATTTGGTGGAGGCTAAAGTAGTCCTCTTCACAGCTATCTTTAGAAAGAGATGAAAGATTGTGAACTGAACAAAAACCAGAATGTCACCCATGCCCCAAGAGAGGTCTCACCAAAGCAGATACAGAGAACTTATCTCCATAGGGATGTAGATACAGAGAATACATCCCTTTGGGGAATGGAAGGATTCTGGATTTCTGCAAGTGGAAGGGGAGCCTGGGAACTGGTCTTCCAGGGGAGGGAGGTGCCTGAGCAAATGCCTGGAGGCCAGAGCCTGGTGTATATTTGTGGTTCTGGAGACAAGGTGGGCCTGCAGAAAGGTTGAAAAGCAAAGTGATGGTAGATAAATCTTGCTTGCCAGCCCAATGCCAGACTGAAGGACAGAAAGGTCAGTCCCTTTCAGATGACAACTTCCAAGACCTGGAGGATCCAACCATCCTATGGATACATCCCTGTCAGCCTCCACCTGAGCCTATCAGTAAGTCTCCATTTTCAAGGCACTTACACACCTGCTGTTTCATGCGACCCTATAGAACTCTGGGAGTTCTAGGAATGACACATTGCCCATGGCCCTGACTCACTGTCCAGTGCTCTCTCTCTGCTGCTGGCTGCTGCCCACTCCCCTGGTGGTTCCTTTCCAGGCAGGCTGTTTATGCATACCTCCTGGTCCAGCCCTCAAGCTGGGCAAGCAGAATCAACTGAACAGAATCTTTCCAACAGGAACTTTGGGCCTCTGGCTCACTTGCTCATTGTTGTCCCAGGTCCCACGGACCCGGCACAGAAGGAAGTGGGCCCAGTGAAGGCAAGAGGCCGGCTGCCTGGCAGTCTCTGCTTGTGATCTCCTGGGAAGCGCTGAGCCACCTCTGATGGGATTCAGGATGCAAGGAACACTTGTCAAAGGCTGGCTATGATCCAGACACTCTGCCAATCTGATCTCATTTAATTTTCACAGCAGCCTTATATGAGAGAGACTGTAGTTACCTGCATTGTTCAGATGAGGAAACTGAGGCTGAAAAGCTTAAGCAACTGCTCAGGGTGTCAGAACTAATGAGGGAGGCGATGTAGACCCAGGCCCATCTGACTCAGTGCTTATGTGTATTATCACCATGGCTCTGGTCTGATGCCCAGATTGCCCCCCTCCCCTGGTGATCAACCATCACTCCCATTCTTCCCTCTTCTACTTCCTTTCCCAAACTGGATCCTTGAGTTGAATGCCAGCTGGGTGGTGCTGGAGGTCAGTATGTGATATGTGTATACTTGTCTGAGAGCTCCCTGTGGGCCAGGCTTTATGCTTCATAGGACTGCTGTCCCATTATTTACAAATGGGGTGACAGAGGCTTGTAGCTAAGCAGGTTACCCAAGAGCTCATTGCCTGTGGCAGAGCTGAGATTGGAATGCTCAAACCCCCATCCCTGCCCCAGCCCAGGGCTCCATCACCTACACCGCAGTTGCCCCCACAGCCAGAAAAACAGGAGTTGCAGTCCAGCTAGAAGTCTAGCCCAGATATGGAGCCATTCCTGTCCACTGAACTCACCATGCCGACACAGCCAGCCAGTGAGGTTTGCACTTTGCCTTGAAAATCCATTAAACCTGTTCGTGGCAGCAGCAGCTTCTTTATTTGCAAACTGTACCAGCTCCAGGAGGACAAAAGCATGCGACTGATCTTCCTGAGCATTAGACTGTGAGACATTGAACTGGTCCATGAACAATGGCTTCTCTGAGTTTGGACTGACTTCTAAGAATGTCTAGCCTCTTCATTTCCTGTCTCTGAGCTGCAGTGGAGCAGTGGATCTTGTCGTGTTTCTCCGGGAATAGAATCTTCAGAAAGAGCTATTTCTCCCAGCTTCTTGTCCCACTCCTGTCTCTACTCCCCTACAACCGCTGCCTGGAACCAGGGGTCCTGAGCAGTTGGAAGCCACTAGGTTCCTGCCGAAGAATGAGTTCCAGAAAGATCAGCACTGAGACAGTGGACAGCTCCTCTCTTCTGCATCTCCTCCCCTCCTCTGATCACTTTCAAGGAACACTAACTGTGGAGCCCAGGGCTGGCCTCCAGGTACTGTGTCTATTGAGTTCTGAAACCAGATCTTTAAAAGTGAGTCAGCTTCAGCTACCATTTATTGAGCAAATTCTGTTCTGTTTCCTCCCATTAAGCATATTCAGAAACTAAGGCTCGTGGCCCCACAT